TCTCATCTTCCAGCTCCCCAGATACTCCGCGTACTAAAGTTGTACTAGAAAGTCGCCAGTTCTCATCTTCCAGCTCCCCAGATACACCGTGTACTAAAGTTGTACTAGAAGTCGCCAGTTCTCAGCTTCCAGCTCCACAGCTTGTAAGTGGTACTACAAAGTCGCCAGTTCTCATCTTCCAGCTCCCCAGATACTCCGTGTACTAAAGTTCTACTGGAAAGTCGCCAGTCCTCATCTTCCAGGTCCCCAGATACTCCGCGTATATACTCAAGTTGCACTACAAAGTCACAGATTGCTCCGCACTGAAGTGGTACTACAAAGTCCACAGTCCCGCAGAGGGTTGCGCCGGACAGACACAAATCGCACTCTCGCCTGCGTTTCGCGCGCTCGACACGCGCGATCTCCGCAGAGGGTTGCGCCGGACAGACACAAATCGCACTCTCGCCTGCATTTCGCGCCCTCGACACGCACGATCTCTGCAGAGGGTTGCGCCGGACAAATCCAAATCGCAGTCTCGCCTGCATTTCGCGCGCTCGACGCGCACGATCTCCGCAGAGGGTTGCGTTTCGTGGTGCTCCGACGTTACTGACCCGGCCTTAAGAGAGAAAGTTAAGAAGAGCGAGAGGTGAAGATGTGAGATGTAGATGTGCAGTTGTGAATGTAGATGTGATGTGAGGATGCGAAGATGAGCAGAGATGTAGATGTACAGTTGTCAATGTAGATGTGAAGATGAGCAGTGGATGTGCAGAGGTGAAGATGTGAAGATGTAGATGAGACGTAGTCCTGCAGATGTTTTTGTACGAAGAACCCTTCGCAGGCGCTCTCGGGAAAAAAGAATTCCACAGACCTTTCATGATTGGTTTTGTCGACGCCTGGGAGATACATTGCGGGTCCTGGATGCACGCAGTTCTCGGATAAGCGCTGGACTGTGATGGGCGCGCAGAGCTTGTAACGAAGGTGTGTTGCGCGGACGAAGTAATTGGGTGACCAGCATCCACGCAAATTGCACGTACTTCTTGTTCTGATAGTGAGATGAAGGAAAACACTCTGACCAAGAACACACCTCCACTCCTCCCGCAGATCTCTCCCAACCATATCTCCGCATCAAGCAGCGCAAATACGCCACGTCTGCGACATCCAGCTTGCCTCGTCGCTGACGCAACTCTGCCTCTTCATCCACCACCAAGGCCTTCGCGCCCCATAGTATGTCCAGCGCCGCCTGCAACAAGCATCTAAAACAAACAGTTGACAACACAGACTTACCCAGCGCCTGCAGACAACGATCCTTCTCCCAACATCGGTAACATGCGATAAGCCGGAACATCCAAATCACATCGACACCCTCCTGCCTCCAGAACGTTTTCGCGATCTTCGTAACCATCCATCAGGTCCCAGTCGCATCCAGATTTGGTTGTGTGCGCATCCCACAAACGGGCAGCCACTTCCAACATGTTTGTTTGGATGCTGAACCCTATCAAGCGACACCAGCCACGTCGCCTTTCATCAGATATACTCAGTAGCACACAGGCCAGTAACGCTACCACCTGATGTCGCAACGAATGTTACCACTCTCAAGGCAGACATGCAGAAAACCTGGTAATTGCAACAAATCGATCGCATCCAGAGCGGCTTTGCGGGGTAGCGTTTCTGCGAACTCTTCGAACGTAGCAAGCAGTGGTAATGTCGCATCCACCACGCGACTGTCCAGGGTAGCACGCGTGAGATGTAATGCCTCCACCTCACCCATGGTCTTGTCACTCAGGGTCGCGAAGAGACGCATGCGGTCCTCTTGTAATAACACAACGTCCGGCACAGCTTCTCCCTCCAAACATCTTCCCAGCCACCGCCACAAAAGGCTGGCGCTACACCTAGCATCGCCATCTTCACCAGGCTCCTGCTCGAAACAAAAAGGACTGCCAAATATCATACACAGGATTCCCAAAGTCAGAAACAACCTTTGAACATCAAAGTGAGTTGCTCCAAACAACAAATAACACGTCACTTCCGGCGTACAAACCTCAACCCCAGCACCAAACCTCAACCTCAAACACCAGCGCGAACAGAACTTGTCCAAGGTCATTGCTTGAATATATCCCTACCTCTATCCGAACACAGCGCCTGAGCCTGCTCTGTTGGCGCCAAGGCTTCCATCAACGCGGAGCGCAGTTGCGCCACCGGTAGCCATCTGTCGCCTATCTTCGCTCTGATG